AGAGCCACCGGGAGCAAGGCGGCAGCGGCGGCGGGGTGCCGCGCCTCTGAGGCTTTGCTCTGGCAAAGCCTCAGAGGCGCGGGACCCCTCTGCCTCCCCGGCTTTGCTCCAGGTGTCCCTGGTCTGCTGGAGACGGTCCCCAGCACACCAGGGGCACCTGGAGCAGCTTTTCTCGCCCCGGAGGTTGAGGTGGCGGGACCGCTGCGCTCTGGGCAGTCCTGCTGCCTGCGAGCTCCGGGACAAGAAAGCCCCGTTCGTAAGTGCGGATCCGACATAAGTCGGATCCACGTAACTCGGGGACTGCCTGTACTTGTTTTTCTAAAAAAAACCCCAGAAGTGCCAGTGAGTTCACTGGGGCTTACTCGAAAATTAAGTGCACTCCAAACAGTCAGTCTTAGCTTTTTGGTAATTTAATTTAAATCAATGATTTTTGGCGATTTAAATCAGTGATTTAAATTGCCTTGATTTAAATAAATCCACCCTGCATCTTGTTCATTGATAATTCACAAAGAGACCAGAGTGATACATATTAACAAATCCTCCACATCCTAGGCATGGGAAGTAGAAGTGCAGGGGGCGCTACAGCACCCCCAGGTTTGGCACCCAGCTTCCCCCTGCCCAGAGGTTCCCTGGGGTCCAGCCACATGCCATACCTCAGAAAGGTGCCATTTCAGGAGGGTGGGAGGAGAGGGTAAATCCGAGCATACCAGGACACTGCTTGGTCTTCTTAGCATTCCCCTTACAATCAGGGATTGAGGGGGAAAGTAGACAGTCTACTCTACATGCATTCCTCTCACTCCTGCCTGGTGAAGGGAGCAGGTAGTAAGTGACACCAGCTGTGTACTTTCTCTTTGCTCCCTGATTATGAGGAGAATGGGAAAAGCAGCACATGGTAACCCAGTACACGTGGCTGCCGTCCCTCCTGAAATGGTGCCCTTCTCTCTGCAGGCTACGGATATTAGTAAATGAATAGTTGTGTAACCACGTGAAATTTTATTGATAGTCCCCGAGGAGAGGCTGGCAGCCAGTGCACTCCTGGCCCCACTCTAGGAGAACACCCTGCCACCCCCACAGAGCTCCCTCTCTATCAGAGCTTAAAAACCTGCTCCCTGATACAGAGGCAGCTGCCCAGGGTGGCAGCAGCCCCTATGGGGGGGGGGAAGCTGCTCTGCAGCAGCAACCCCTGTCCACAGGGAGCTCAGAACCACCATGAATATGGGCTGCAGCAAAGAGGGGCAGGTGGTCCTCAGAACCAGCTCCCCACATGTATCAGCTCCCGCCTGCTCCCCCCTCATCCTCTGCACTGCTGCTTTTCTATCAGATCCGGTGCTTTTGGGGAACCAGCTTTTAAGCCAGCTCCTCATGAGCACCAGTTCCCACTCTCCCCCCAACCCTTGCTGCCTCTGATAGAGAGGCAGCAGGGTGGGGGAGCACATGAGGTCAACAAGATTAACGGATAAGCCTATCAGTCCATTGTGTAGTCATCTACACATTGACATCCCTACTGCTGGCTCCACAGCTGCCTCTAGCTGTGGCTAAGGCTGTCAACTCTCCCAGACCACACACCTATGTGTTACCCCAGGCTGGGCTGGTGAGGCGAACTGAGGTGGGGGTGGGGCGCAGCTCAGCATCCTCACCGTAAAACAGTTCCAGCACCTATACTCCACACTAAACAGTCCCTCCAGCTCTACTTTACACATCAGTACAGAATGCAGCATTAAAAATCATCAGCCTAGCAAGAGAAAGGAGATTTCCATTTGGCAGGCTGGTTATTACCTATCACAGTGAGACAGGCTATTTTTTCCTGGGATCACAAAGGTAGTCAAATCCACCTTCCTCAAAAAGCACAGCATGGTGACTGGGAAAACAGTGGCATTGAAACAAAAAAAAAACTGGATTAGTTGTCAGTTGCTGGAGATGGGGAAAAAGGAGTCTCTCCGGTACAATCACAGGGAAGAAAACACACATTTTTCCGTTTGACAACAGATCTGATATTGGTAGCATCACATAAAAACAATCTCTGAGCATCACATTTAGCTGCTGGCTTACTCCTCCCAATGGGAAGTTTCTTTTATTTTCCTGACAGGCAGCAGAAGCCAATAGTAGCTTCTATATCATATTCAATCTTGCTTAGCTAGGTTATACCTGAGTAAAAGGGAGCTGCAATGCCAGCAGCAAAACACAAGCATGTCAATGAGACGGACTTATTTTTTTCCACACAAGGAAGCCTCAGTCATCAGACCAATGAAAGCTGCAGGCTTAGTTACTGTATAAAAGACTATAATTTGGTTTACAGCAGAGTAAATGTTCAACTTTGTGGATGGCATCCTTGTTCCTTTCAAACTATATACTAGAACAAGTCCTGCTTTCAGTCTCTCAGAGAAAAGATACATTGTGATAAGCTACCTGCACCACTAATTTCCTTAAACATCACCTGGCCATGCAGAAAAATAACTCTGCATGGATCTAACCAGCTTTGTGCTAGAGACGTGTAGCAGAATAGATGTGTGCAGTACTGGAGAAGATGCATCCAGCAGTATTTATCATTCCCTCTTTAAGTCACACTTCTATGCATCACAGCTGTCAAAAGACTTATAGAAATATATCCCTTCTGCATGTAATGCATCATAATTCTCCTCAAGATAGTCAACGGTCTTGGGCAGGGTCTCAGGCTCACTCAGTCTTGAACTGTGAAATGGCCTCAGTTTTTGGGACCCAAGCGGACCTCTTGAGCTATAGATTAGAAAGGGGAAAAACTCAGACATACCAGAACCATTTCCCATGGAATTTTCAGTCAGAAGGATGCTTTCAACTGCAGGGATTTCTACATTTTTTTTCACACATGTACTTCAGTTTGGGTTTGAATGAACCAAAATATGCCAAAGCAAA